GCTACATCTCCACATCGTCGGGGCACAACAGGGACAGCAGACATGGAGCAGCAGACATGGAGCAGCAGACATGGAGCAGGTGCAGTGAGGAGCAGTATGTAGTATGGGCACGGATGTAAGCAACCCAGAGCTGACACTCAAGCGCAAGCTGGTTGCTTCACTGACATTGAAATGCTTTGCTTCTGCAAGGTAATCAGAGTTATGACCAGTTAGAAGCCCTTCCCGGTCAGTTAGCAGCCACGTGAGAACAAAGTTTAGAGGAGGTTAGAGAAGAGTGGGCAGGCTGATCGAGAGCTTGACGATGGCAACAATTAGCTGAGTCCAGATCACAAGGAACTGATCATTAAGCCAACAAAGCTGGGAGCACCATCTTATTGAAGAATATTTCAGGTCATCTTTAAAACAAAAAGCAGTGGCCAACTGCAAGTGGAGCAGTTAAAAACACACAGTAGGAGAGCAGCAAAAACCCATGGTAGTCCCACAGGGAGAACAATGCTTACAAACCAGCATCTTATGGGTGAGCTCTGCATGTCTGTGGCTCTGTGTTCGGGGCAAGCAGGGAAAAAGGATGCTTTTCTGACGTCTAGTTAGGCAGGAGATGGGCAGAAGTACTGGCAGGTTCTTCCATTTCAATCCAGTCAGCTATTCTTACTATTCCTGTCACACTTACTGAAATGTGAGAGTGGATTCAATCATCACTGCTGGGAATGAACCAACACATACACACCCAGGCAACATATAATAAGACTCTCCTTCCCCTACAAATTCAACCTAAAAAAACTGCAAAACAACCCTTTATTTTATTTGGCAAATACCACAAGCTGGGCAGCTGTTGTGCAATAGAGGAGGGGGCTTAGGGGGTGGAGAGAGAGAGAGGAGAGAAAGAGATGGTGCAGGTCTCTTTCTGGATCTCAATAAAATAGGCCCAGCAACAAATACCTTAATGACTTCTTGAATAAAACAGAGTAAGACAAGGAATACAGGCAGCAAGTAAATTGTACATCCCTTCAGCTACATCCCTATGTAACATCGTATGGAGGCCAGATGGATTTTCCCACAGTGTTGTGAGATACCCAGTCCGTAGAGAGCAGCTCTCCTTTTTCATCACTTGAACTATTTTATAATTTCCTTACAAGAAAACAACCCTCTTTCTAAAAGATGTTCTCAGGAGAACTTGTTTCTGCTCTGCTAGATAAAGGCAAGGCCAGGCAGGTTGTGCAATCTCAGTACCAAGTGGGAGCTGCCCGCAGAGCTTTGCTGTTTCGATGAGCTGGCAAAGTGTCCTGCGGCCAAGGGGTCCACGGAGTCCAACTGAGACCTGAAAGCCACCCTGGGTGTGCAGCCCAGCCTGAAGCTGCTGTGTGGATCACCGAAGCTGTGGTGTGGGCCACCGGCTTTTAAACATTTAAGGGTCCCTCAATCAGGATCAACACGGCAGCTCAGGAAAAGCCTCCTCACGCCCGATTCCTCAGAGAGCAGCTTGGCGTGGGGAATTGAGGCACCAAAACTAGTGGCTGCGCAGTCTGTGGGCTGTCAAACCTGGGGCCAGAGCTAGCCACAGGTGTGCGTTGGTGTATTAAAGATGAGGCACTACTTTGGTGCCATCAGTCAAATGTCTGAAGGCTGTCACTTTGTGAACACTTTCACACTTCCTTGACTACTGTGAATGTGGCTGAAACCTGCAGCTGTGGGGCACAGCTGGTTTCAGAGCTGGGTTAAGAGCCTTCGGACTTCATGGGCAGGTCATACCCGCAGGGGCTCTGGGGAGCTCTTTTCACATTGTAACAGCACAACAAAGATAGAAAGAACCCAAACACTGTCCATAGCGGTTTGCATGAGATTCCCTTTGAACCAGGAACCAGCTGGCAACAAACTGTAAACCGGAGTGGCCAGCAGTGTATGCCTTTAAAGCAAATCTTTCCTAGCATGCTTTGCTCCCTTTATAAAGGGGCACTCCAGGGCATTGCAGGCTTTAGCAGTAGCCTGGTTTCTGGCTGGCCTGTCACACGGTGAGTACTTACCTCCTCCTCCCAGACTTGCTTTCTCTAGTTTTCCCAGGATGTGCTGTGCTGCTGTTCCCGGTCAGGCCTTTTGCTTAAGGCTACGGGGCTTAGTTTGGCTTTTCAAGTGTGAGAAACTGCCACTGGATGTGGGGATGTAGTAAATCCAGAGCTGCTGCTCTTCCTCAAGTCTGTCTGGAATGGAAGCATGGAATGGGGTGGAGAGTGGTTGAATAGTCTCAGTTTCATGGAGTGATCTCATTGCATAAAAGTACCACGAGTGTGAATGCAGGTTTAGTCTTTGAAATACAATGAATTTTCGTTCGTTACTTTTGGGTTTCTTAATTTTGGGTGCGTTCTTCTAAGACAAGTGACAGACAAGCACTTGTAAGTTGCCCAAGGAATGTTTTGTTGTCAGTCCTACTCTAGATGAGCTTGATCCACAAGTAAAACCATTTTATAGACAGGTACTGGGGCAAGAGCATTAGGGTATGGTAAATGAGATAACATGAAGAACGTGAGCATTAGTATCTAATAGTCTTTTGTATGTGACGATATATTGTGTTTGAGAGAGTGTATTTGTATCTCCCAATGGGATAAAGACCTTATAAATTAGCTTGAGTCTTTTTTAGGTGTCAGGAGTTTGAAATACACCATTCTACTTTGATGTTTACCTACATACATAATGGGGTGCCTCGCCTTAAAACTTAAACTTTGGACAGCGTTCCATGTGCTATTCTGAAAGCTGTCTGGCCAGAGTCTGATTTACTTGCAACTAGTATGTTGTCCTACAGAATACAGTACGTCAAAACACAAGCTGAAAGATAAGTAAAATAAATCCAAGTTGAATGTTTTATCCAGCTCTAAACAGACTACATCCAAATGCTGGACTGTATCTTAAATGTCCAAAGTCAAGCTTAAATGTTCACTTGATTTAAACATAGGGGCTGAAAACTGAACTAAGGGAGGAGAAAAAAAAAAAAATCTTGTAAAACATACACGAAGGTCAGTGATTGTAGGAATGAAACGTTTGATTTCTTTAGCTGCTTCTGAAATGTGAATATTAATTACAACAGCTCATCTTTAATACAAATTTTCCTGCCTACCTCATGCAGTAAATAGTGACTTCATGATCCAAAGTGCATTTAAAAAAAAATCCTCAGCTTGTAAACTACCTAGTATTTTCTAAGTTCAGAGTTTAGTGTGTGATTAGACCACGTGAAGTAGCAGATAACAACTGAAAAATGTTCTGCAACTAGACTTGGACAAACAGAACTGCAGTAAGAAAAGTTAGTGATGCAAAACCTTGAGAGGACATTAAAGTCTGTGCAAAATGTGTTGCTGTAGGTGTGGAGGAGGGGGAAAAGTTGGAGAAAAATTTTAAAAAACCCAAACCCAGACAGTGTCCAGGAGTGAAAGCACACAGTAACCTGCCAGCTGCATACAGATGACAAAACAAGTAAGAAACTGCACACTCCACTTGGAGGTACGTCTTCCTTTCTTCACAAGAAGTCACTTACGGAAAAGCAAGTTGATGTGTACTTACATGCTGAACCCTTCTCAGAAAATGATAAATTATTGAAGCATATTATAAAGTTGTATCTCTATTTCTGTGTGCTGTAGTGGCTGCTGAAGTGTTTGATGTGGAAAGGTTAACTTCTGATTGCAAAGTAACTTAGAATTGTTCCTTGATCTTAAAAAAAACCCAAAAAACAAAAAAACAAAAAAAACCCCAAACACCCCAAAAAAACCTTAAGAATTTGCAACCCACATTCCCTCCTCTGGATAACTGAAATGTTACCATTCCCTGCTTGCATTAGAGCTACTGGTACTTGGAAAGAAGAGACTGATGTTACAGTGACCCAATTGTCTTGTGTTCGTCCATCCACAACTAGAAGCGTTTTTCTTTCTGGAGGCACTACAAACTACCCAAACAATAAAGCAGGGCTTCAGAAAATCTCATGTTTTAATAAAGGCTAAATAACCACACCATGAGGTGCATTACCCTGACCTGTAACTGTCCTGAGGAACAAGAAAACACCCTGAGTACCTGTATGTTAAGCGCAGTAAGGCTCAGACTAAGAAATATTTGAACATTCAGGGTTTTTTTCCTTGGCTGACTGTATATGAAAGGAGAAAAGGCCTTTTATAAATTGGTGTAAGTATTCATGTAAAACTGAGCTGGATTTACTCACTGGGCTTTGATCTGGGAGCACTGTTGTAAAATATAAACAAGTTCTGGCTCTGCTTGCATGGAGGTTTCCCCACCCTAATGCTCACCCCATACTATAACCTTAGTGTATTTGTCCTCATTTCTGGCTAGTACATGAAGAGAATATATACGTGGTACTAGGGTGGGGGGAAGTGGATGGGAGAAAGACTGATCCGTCTGAAGAGAATACAGATGTCAAGTTCACAACAGCTTTTAGATTCCTAGTCTGTTTTCAGGAGTAGCTTCAGATAGTAGTTCGAATTGCTTTTATTGAAGAAGTCCATTGTGTTTGGTGGAGATGCAGGAAGAAAAGGTAACTGCCAGCTGATGTAGGGTGGGGGCGTAGGGAGGCAGGAGGTGAAGCAGCTACTAGCTGTGCTGGCATACCAAATGAGAGCTTTTCACCTGTGACTGACTTCCTTGGCCAGCACAGAGCTTTCTTTTCACCCTTAGGGCTTTTCTTCCATTTGACTCAATTCTTTCCCAACCCCTAATTGTTGAAGTGTCACTGTTACATCCCTCGATTCAACCCACAATTCAGGATTTTTTGGACAGCTGAACTTTTTACCCGATGACTCTTACTAGACTGGCATTTAAAGCTGACCCTGTGTTTTCCAAAAGGGACAGGTCACTGTCGCCAAAACATTAGCATTTCCCTTCCCAACATTAGTTACACTATTGTTCTGCCATCAGTACAAGGCTGTGATTTGCAATTACTCCATGCCTGCTTACCTTCCAATCAGTATTTCCATAACTGTTAGCATAATTAAACGAGCTGTTGCTTTGAATTAGTCTTGTGGCACTATTACATGCTTCGCTTTTATTTTTTTTTCTGTACAGTGGAACAAAGCAATGCCTTGAAACAAAAACACTCAGGAAGTTTATACTGGTTTACATTTAGTAAAAAAAAATACCCCACATTTAAACACTTGTGCATTCCACCTGTGGATTATTAACTACAAATCAAATAGGACTCATGGCTTTGAAGAGGTTGACAAGTACAAAACAGCCTCCTTCTGGCATCTTCACATCCTCCTCTTCTGTGTGCTTATGTATAATACTGAAAAGGAGAAAGTGGCACACGTTAGGAGGGCCCTAGTAAATAATGTGCAGAAGCCTGTTTATTTAAAACATCTTATTTCTGTGTCTTGTAAAACAACAGGGTAATGAATCCCATTCAGCATGAACAAAGTCAGGAAACTTTTAAGTCCAGGTTTCAAGGAATGCTGTCAAATTTACACGAGGTATTACTTCGGTTCAGTATTTATTATATTCATAGCCAAACTACACTCCAGCAGATGCAGGCTGAACAGAGGAAGAATAAAGCCAGCTACCCTGCAGCATTACTGAGGGGAGCAGCAGAGAGTTTCTAAGCAGCAGGATTACGGGTGTCAGACACTAATGCTATGAGCTTCCAACAAAAGCTGGGAATCATAAGCACTGAAGGCAAAGCTAATGATTGCCTATGAAGCAGCAGACATATTCCACCTGCTTGGCTGGTGATATCCCCAGAACAGATCCATGCACAACATGAAACTGCATCATGCTCCTAAACCTGGGATGCCTTAAATTCTCTGCTCAGACTGTTCCTCTCATCCATTTGTTATAACTTTTATAATAGATTCTTATTTCCATAATTGATTCTCCAGCTGCAATGTCACTGCACTCCTTAGCATAATAATCCAAGTTCCTTGCAAAAAGCATTTGGCCTCACTCAAGGATGATTTCTCCTACCAAAATGCTCTCTCACACTGGTGCCACATTTAACTCTTTCTGTAACATGTGATTCAGTTCTTTCTTTTTATTCCCACCTTCCTTCCTGTCTTCTCAAGTAAATTGGTCAAACTCTGCTTCATTTACCTTCTCTACAAGTCTCTTCACATCTGACTTGCGAACCTTTTCTATTTTTAGATACTCTTCTCCCTGGCATGTCCTGATATTACAGTCTTAACTGATACCACAGACTCATTTCAGGAGCCTGGGATTGTCCTTGCAGTGCACGAAAATCCACCTACTGCACCGGGACATTGAAAGGCTCAGTAGTAATGTACAAGTGATTTTTCTTGACTGGTGGTAAACTCTTTACCAGTAAAGATGAATCTCAGTACTACTAAACAACAATCAATCAGGTGCGGTCAACTGCATCACAAGGAAACATTGCAGTGTCATCAGTATCTGTACTGTATCATGAATTCACGTAGCAGTTTGCCTAGCAAAACACAAACTCCTACGGAGCAGATGCCATCTGCACAGGCAGTAAGTGCAAAAGAGTAAACCTCTCAAATGACAGGAAATAAGCTCTAAGGAATGCTAGAAAAGAGTTTGCTTCTCTAAATGAGCTTCAAGTTCAGAGGCAAAAAGGGCCACAGGAATGCGGAAAAGCACAGATGCTGAAAAGTGAAACTGTAAAAAGTAAATAAGGGAAGGTTTCAAAGAAAGCCTAAAAACTAGTAATCTTACAGGCAGCCTGCTTACACCTCAGCCACTCCTCAGATTCAGAAGTAACTATCAAAACACAATCTTCTAATGAGCAATAACATAAGGAGGAGTTACCATTATTTCCTCGGATAAATGCGTCCCCGTACTTGTTCTTTAATTGTCCATTTACATATTCTTCCGTCTGTTCCAGGGCTATATTCATATACCCATCCAGGCAAGCCAGGACACCTGAAGATAGTGACAGTTTGAAAGTGAATCAGCCTAAATGTATTTAAAAATAAACAAAAAATGCATGGTGTCTGAATAGTACCGGAGAAAAAAAGCCCAACGTATCTTCAGAGCAAACTGAAAGCCTGAGCTTGGCCTGGTGTGTCAGTAGATCAGAGTATTCTTCAAAGCATTAAGCTGGGAGTGAGGATTGCCAGGCACTCTAGTAGCAACTTTATCAGCTGATTTAAGTGGGGGTGGGGAAAGAAGTCATTAAGGCATGATTTTCAAAAGGTTTCTGATTTTGAAAGTTTAAGTTGTCCCTTCTCACTTGCGTTTTAAGCCACACACCTGAAAAGAACCTGTGATGCTCCCTGTAACTGGCTAACCCCAGGACAAGGCTATATAAATCCAGTTCTCATCCAAACCTGTGAGGGAGATGGCTGAAAACCATGGCTTTAATGAAGGACACCACAAGGACTTGTTCATATTTATCTTCATGCTTACCGATGTAAGCATGAAGAACATTGGCTGCAAGTCTGTATTTGGATGTAAACAAAACTCGTTTTCAACAGGCAAGGGGTTTACAAACAACACTGTAATCTTACGCAGCCTAATTTTAATTTTGCTGTAATTAACGCAACTCGAAAAAAACCTCCACCATTTGTAATATTAGATGTTCTTTCGATCAGGAAAATATGCATGAGTAGCACTGATTTAAGACACGTATTAATGCTGTCACCCCTCGCAGGCCCTGCTGAAGGCTGTACCTTATTCACACTGTACACCCTCTGTGCTGGCAGCATGATGGCATTTTTCCATTCAAAATCACTCCTCAGTCTCCACACCCACCCGTAAGATCAGAACTATGGCCGTCGGTAGATCTAACTCGCCTGATCAACAGACAGACTGTTCATGTAAGTAACTGAACGTGGGCATTAACAGATGTAAGGAATTGCTCGGAGAATGCGATCCGATCTGTTAATCGTGCAGATAAATGCAGCTTTTCACAAGTGGTTTTATTATCTCCATCCTGCATGTGCATTTTCCTGACCTTCTCCTTGCACACACAGACACCACCAGTAAAATAGATATTCCTCTGTTTGAAAAATACCTGATCTAGTTACCTGGCGTTAAAACTTGAAATACTGGCTGTACCTGGGAGGAGGAGCAAACTCTGGTCTGAGAAGCCTCCTCTAGGACATGTTCCTATTTTTCAGAAGTGTTACCCTAATATCTTCCATTAAATAATTAGGAATTCAAGTTCTCCTGTCAACCTGTAATGGTTTGAGGATTACTTTCCTTAAGTTTTAGTTTATTCTGTTTCCACACAAATAGAAAAACTTGACTGCTCACTAAGTATTACTAAATGCACCAAAAAACTCAAACCAAAGTCAGAACCTTTTCACTTCAGTAATCCCAAGTGCTCCACATAACGATAGAAAACAAAAAAAACGTTTGCCCAAAACTAAAATGGGACTGTGTGGATTTCCTTAAGCTACCACTTAGCGGGCCACAAATGCAGTATTTTCAAACTCTTTTGTTCCTAGTGTGCATTCATGGTAGTTTCATTCTCTTCCTCCTCTTCTTTGTGTTTATTCCCAAGGTACTAATGGCATCAAATATTCTCACTGTCCACCCTGGCTAGTCCTTTATCTGTTTTATCTGTATGTGACATTTTAATGTGCACATCCATCTCTACACACAGAAATCCTACGTATTTATCACTGATGGCTTTCCCAGGGCTTCTTCCCTCAGACGTACACAGCACTTGCCAGCCAATCAAGCCATTTTATGGTTACACATCCACACTTGCACTAGGCTGCCTTTGTGCGTACGGTGGCTCGGAGCGTGGAGGCCCAGACATAAAATTAGCCAGGCGGACAAGAGGAAGAATCTAGGCAGATCTGCAACAACAGGCTGAGGTTCTGGCTTTTTTAATGTTTGGCTTTTACAAATGTTGGTCAAATTTCTGCAGAAAGCAACCTGAGTGCACATTTTTTTACATGAGAACAGTATACAGGTTAACTGCAGGATGGCATCAGGTTGGGGTGGGGGACTCCAGTAACCACTAAGTGTTCAAAGGATCTATGGCTTAATCCCTGGTAAGTCTGATTGTAGCCATGTTCAATTAGCCTTGCTGAGGGGAAAGCTGAGTAATTTATCTGCAGCAGTTACCAGTGGACCTTCCTGAGCAGAAGGTACCAATGTTCTCAAAGAAAATAGAAAGTTCATCCAATAAACCAAATGTGGTTTGGCCCTGCCTTGAGTGTTCCTTTTAGGGAAATGATGACTTGCTTTAATTGACTTCAATCACCTGTCACTACATTCCAGAAAGAATTTAGAGGCCAAAGCCTGATGAGGAGCAGTGAAGTTTTTAAGCCACCTGAAGTGCTCAGGCAATGTGGTTCTCAAAGAACTGACAGCACACAAATTTTGTGAGGTGAGAGATGCTAAAGAGGAACAGCAAGGGTTAGGAAGGCACTACTTGCTCTGTCAGTGAACAACAACAATTTAAAACTGTCATAATACAAAGACCCGTTGTCACAGCACAAACAAGACTCAAGTGCCAAGCTGAGCCAATTAAATTAAACCTATCTGAAGCAGTGATCATATATATCGCCGTGTAAACCGTAAAGTTTAAATGATTCCAAAGTAAAAGGTCTAAATTGTGCACAACAGGAGATACATGACAGTTTTAAGTTTGGATACTACTAAAAAAATTGGACAGGCCAGTAGTCTTAGGCTAATGGAAGTAGGACCAGGACATTTCACTGAACAGAGAAGTTTATTAGTTAAAAGGTTTAAAAACTTATACTTTAAATATAATCTTACATACATTGCAAGAATATATACAGATAGGCAGAAGAGTTCTGGAATAAAACTGCTGGACTCTGTTAAAATGAACTGGGCACACAGCAGCCAAAGCCACACTAAGTTTTCTCCTGTATCTATGTGAGTCTTGATAGAGCACACCTAGGCAGTTGTTTAACCAAGAATGTAATTAACTCTCTCATCCCTTGTGTAAGAGCAGACTTTTGACTGACGGCACAATTTACTTTCTGAAGCTCTTCTGGACCAAGGTCTATACTAGGAATGGGAGAACAGGCAGGTGAATAAAAGGGTGGTTCCAACAAGGGTTGCCTTCAGAGCACTGAAAAGGGGACTGCCTGGCCATTTCAGGAATTGTAATTTCAGATAATCTTTACAAATATCACTTTGGAAACTCAGAATCATCCCCAGACTCCAGTCAAACCATCAGTGGCCAAGGATACTAATGATTCAGACAAGTAATTTTAACTTCGAAATCCAACATTAACCTCCTTATCATCAGTTTTTCCAGAGCTGATTTTCTGTTTTTAATGTCACCATTCCGAGATCTATATTCACATACCTCAAGATTCTGGATCACGCTGTTTCACTTTTCAAAAGCAAAGCACCTGTTCCAGCCTCCCCCAAAAAAATTACTTCAGTCAGTGTGAGAGACAGATGGAAAACTCACCTCGATAATCAACTCCAGAATTTAATTTTACGACGACTGGCCTTCCAATGATTTGTTTTAGAAAGTCACTAGGGGTTTGCTTCCGTAGACTCATCTTTATCTTCTCTGGTAAAGTGGGAAGAGAAGTGAAAGAAAACATTTGGATAAGCAACCTGCTCACATATGGTGTTTAAACACTCAGTACACACAGGCAGTCCCCTGATACTCAATACTTTCTTTTTGGAGAAAATATCAAAGGAGATAAAAGCAAAACCTTAATGCTGGAGGTGGAGAGACAGAGCTCCTAGAGCTATAGCATTACACTTCCCCTTTGGCGTTTTTAGAACTTCTGAAATTATTAATAAGAATCCTTGTTTGCCATGCTGTGCATCTTGTAAGCTTCCAACGGAGCCAAAGGGCTCATCTTCTCTGTAACATCTCTTGCTAGAACGGTTCTACTAAAGTTAGACAGCTACCAAGAAGTCTGTGCTCAAACCACAAGGGAAGGATTTTTGATCACTGCTCATAAATACGAGCAAAGAATAAATTTGAGAGGATGCCTTCAAATGAATTTAAGGTAGACTAAGTGTAGAATTCAGGCTTATGGTTAAGCTGTACCGAGACCTTAAGAGATGCTGTGACTTAAAACTTGATGGCACGGTGTGACCCTCCCTCAGTCGGTATTCCTTAACTTTCACCCCTTTGTCTAGGTAACAGTTACTCTACGCCTGACACCAGCGGTGAAGAGCAGTGCTGAGGCTGGCACCCACTGCGGGGCGGGTGGCTGCCTGCCGGGGCAGAGGGCAATGCGCCAGCCCGGCCGCGCCGGGCCCTCGCCCGTTTGCCTAC